TTAAATAAGAGGCAAATTTTGCAGCCATACCCTACTGTTCTCACAGTAACACACTCTGTAAAAAACAGATCCAGAAAGGGGCGTGGGTGGGAAGAATGATCGAGAGCTACTCCCTTGAAATAGTGTGGAAACAAGAGTATAGTGTAGCTAAATCCTCAGGAAGTGAACGGCAGAAAGAACCTCCTTTCCCAACTCCTCCCTACAACATTAACAGCCTTAGCAATTACTGAGTGGAACAAACCCCTTTAACACCACCTGGTACAGTTTTCAGCAGTTGGTCTTGCTCCCAAGCCTGTCATGGCTCATTTAGATAGTATAGTGCATTCTCTCTATAGCACTATTCTTGGGAACCATGGAGTTCAAAACATAATGAGATATAGAGATTTATCCTGAAGTGTAATGTAACTGTTAGCCACAGTACGACAGTTTAGTATTTGAGGAACAGAAAGCTTTTTTAGACTAGATGCAATATAAAAATAAATAAACTGGTTAAATATGTATACTTTATCAATAGCTAAAGAAAAATGAGTCCAGGCAGATAAAAGGGGGTCTTATTTGCATGCATCTCATTTGGAGAGCACATTTCCTTATTGCTATACACACTGTACAGATTCATTACTACACACACTGTAGAGATTCATAAACACAGCATGACTACCTTAGACATAATAATAATAGTAGATAAATCTGTTGTTGTTACATAAAATTATACTTCAAAATATCTATTATTTTCATAATATTCAAATCTTAACAGCATTGGAAACAATTCCAGTGGTATGATTATCATTTGCAGTATAACAGCAAACCACTATCAAAAGAGAATGATTAAGTTGGGAAAGCCATCCATAAACATTTTCTCCTCAAATTAGCCAAACAGGAAACATGAAGAAAGATGCCCTTATTCCATTTGATATTCCAGTCACTGAGATAAAGATGTACAGAAGTGTAAGTTCTGTAAATGGAAATGCCACTCATATCAGAAAAATGCATAAACACAAAACCTCAAAGCATGACATGATAACCCATGATGGGAAAGTAGATATGATGGGTTACAGATATGAGATGTTTGTGTAGGACAGGATAGAAATGTCTCAAATAAGTAAATAAAGTGTTTTGTGAAGGTGTTTTGTGATTTCTCAAAAACCAGTGATCCTAATAACACACGGCTTGTTTCATGGGTTGTTTGTACCATGATGTGGCATCCAAACCTAGGATAGCAGTTTTATCACATGGGTTGTCAGGATCCGCACAGAGCTGCTTGGCAAGAGTGGCATCGCCCACTGCTGTTCTGAACTGGTCCATGTTGCCAACAGCGACTATCTCTCCACTGATGCTGAAACAACACTTTGGAGCAACCATTATTTATTGCCACTTTTTTCTTTTGCACGTGAAAATTGTACACATGTGCTCAAGACTTTTTTGGGAGGGTTCAAGTCTGATTGTACCTGTAGCTGTAATATGTGTAGTCTTAGCTCATCTATTGTCTTGTATGTTTTTGCTGTCAGAGGGGACATCAGAGCATCAAGGCAGAGTAAGGAATACACAAGGAAAATGATAAGAGGGCTGCATATTGGCCAATGTTCACAGATGGGGAGAAACAATAAAGATAAGATGGAAAATGTAGGGAGGACCCCAAAAGACTGAGTGCACCAATATCTCCTGCTTAGATATGTGAACCTCTGGCTTTGATATACTAAACAAACAGTTTTCAATGTCCTCCATCTTTTCAACCCTTCCCCAACTCACTAGTTAGTCCTGGCAGGGGCAATGTGACTTCCCCAATCCTTTCCCAGAACGTACCAATATGGTCATACTGGTTTATTGCATTTTTAAGGTAGGCAGCTGAATGGGACCAAATGAATGATGGCTGCTGGTAGAGCCCCATTTGCTTTGCTCTATTCTGCTTCCTTGGAAGTTTTGATCCTCCACTTTTAGGAATATTTGCATATGACAAAGACTGGTAAATATATACACAAATGGGAAATAAATGGAGGAGAAATTTGTGCACCTGCATTGCACAAATTTCTCAGTCCAAAAATTATGCATATATTTCCAACATTTTTTTCAATTCTTATAACTGGTAGCATGGGATAATATGAGGTACAAGTGGTACTTACAACCTTTCCCCCCAGGGGTGTACCATTCGCCTGCTCCATTAGCAGTTTTTTTAGAACTGTTATGGAACTGAAGCAGGAAGTGCCCTGAAAAGGAGGAATTACTTGTTTCCTTTTTTGGAATAGCTGGAGATTTGGGTGAGTGTTCAAAAGGTAGGAGCCACTTAAAACTGAGATGAACACATTGCCAATCGGGAAAGATATTGCCCCTCCCCCGACTTTTCAGTGCTTCTGAAGTGAGCTAATGAGTTCCTATTTTCCTTTACTGTTATTTCTTCCCTGGCCATTTGTAACTCTTCACAAATTAGGTGATATGCAGCCTCTTCTTGTTAATTTTATGTTGGCTTTCCCACTTCGGTGCTTCCTTTGATAGCTAAACATACGAAGGAAATTAACTAGACAAAACTATACATACAGGCCAGCTATAAGAGCACATTCACACACAAATGAAAGACCACCACCACCACCACCACCACCACCACCACCACCACCACCAATAAATAAATAAATAAATAAATAAATAAATAAATAAATAAATATTAAAAGATTACAATCCCAGCATGTTGGAATTCCCCCCTGCCCGCCCAAAGAACTGGGAAGTGAAAAGAGGTTACTACTGGGGCAGGTGTGGGGCAAGGAGACAAAGTCCCCTGTGACATATACTGTCTGGAAGATCAAGGGGGAAAGAAGCAGAAAATAACTCACAACAAGCCTGATCATCTGACACACAGTAAGTCAGTAACTTGTGTCGCTTGTTTGCAGAGATGGTTTAGCAAATCAAGTTTAATAAACTTGCCAAATGAAATTGATCAGTGCACCCACAATCATTTTGCTATACCTGTATTTCTATGTTTGGGTCTTCATTTATGAAACATTAAAATTCCCTGACTGCAAGAAAATGCTTGAAATGTAAAACCAATGTGGAATAATAGAATTAACTGTCAAAAAAGAAAATGCAATGTTTAGTGGAGCTCAACCATTCCTATTTTAACAGAAGAGCAGAAAGAAAGCTGGCAATAAAGTTCCTGATTCTTCAAGTAAACTTGCACTAAAAATGCCATAATCACATGTGGTTTACTTATTCAAGTACTATGGGTACTTGTGGTTACTTAAGTCTACTTGAGAAGATATGTAACATCTCCCATTGTCTCAGTGTAATTCAGAAACTTCAAACCATCATAAAAGAAATGATCTATGAAAATTTGGAAGACTTCAAAGGAACTTAATCTTTCCAAGCAATTAAAACACACACACACCTCATACTGGGAACATGGTGAAAGAGGTTCTGTGATTTGCAGTATGCATGTATGCACACTCATTCTACTGGGCTTCTTTCTCAATCCATAAAGAAGATTCCAAAGCAGTGACCTGGTGATGTGGGAAATTGATGGTTACTTCCTGCATCATTAACTATGTTAGAAGCATATGCAGGGCTGTAGAGGGGTATGTGGACAATAGTTAGGATTAGGGAGAGAACTAGTCAACTGGATAGAGATATCTGTTTGGCTGGAGGGTATCAATCATTGCTCTAAAAACAAAGTCAGTCCAAAGAAAAAAGATCTTAACATTTCTGAGGCTATAGTTCTATACCTACCTACCTGTGAATAACCTTTATTGAATGCACAGGGGTTACTTCTAAGTAGAGACTGCACTGTGAAACATTTTGGGCTCAGATATTGGGAAGTGTTGATACTTAATTTTCCATGTACAACTGTATCCTGAAAACTAACTATAAATTTTAACTGAGATTTTATGATATGCTCTAGTTCTGTAAGTTCAAAAACATGATACAATATACACAACATGCAAGTATTCATTTTAATGGGAAAGTTCAGCATAACAAATGCACTGTGAGAGGATTGATTATAAGACATATCTCAAGTTGTTTTGGATTCCTGCATTTAGAATTATGTTTTTCTTCCTCAAGAAACAGCTCTCAAGACAGTCAAACTTAAAGCTGCACACACGCACGCACGTTGTGCCTGTCAACCATATTCAGTGTCCCATTGCCAGGTACCAAAATATAGTTTGGAATACAATGCAATTCATTGCTCCATCTGGAAAACCCCAAACCCTTCTTTCCTTTTGTGCACAAACTGTTCTATTTTAATTTTTCTTCCTCTCCTCCCACTCAAAGATAAGAAAGAACAAAAAGTGATAATGTTGACAAGAAAGTTGAATATAAATAATGGCTACAAACCCAAGATCACTTTATTAATTCTTCCAATAAAAACGATCCTTCTCATCAGGGATAACTCAGCAACTAAAAATGTCTCTAATGATCTTCTGGAAGCACTAGCCAACACAGTTCTAAATAGATAACTGTCTCACTGAGGTCTGCAAAGCACTCACTTCCAAAATAAAGGAATGGGGCTTATTTCCAAGTATAAAGGAATCAATACCATTTAAAATGGAAAATCCAACAGAACCATTTATTCTCTCTTCCTAAGCTGCCTATACTTACCTATCCACAACCAATCCATGATTTCTCTGAATCATAGTCTGTGTCTTAACTGTATTATTCTTACCTGTACAGGAATCTGATCAATCAATTCAAAGACATCCCATTCTAATTTAAGGTCTCAGGGTAGGAACAGTAGGATTAGAACAAACATTATCACCCATCTATAAAAATGTACACAAAATCATGAAATATGCATATAAGGTGGGGTCAATGGGCGGAAGTAACAACACCTATAAGATTCTTCTCTTCTATCCCCAAACTCTTACCATATACAAAATAAACTTTAAAACTTGTAAAGACTATTATTTCTGTGATAAAGTAACACTTTCATCAATGATTCTAAGTGAAATGAATAGACGACATGGAAGGTCATTTTCTAGAGGACAAGGTTTAAAGAAATATGAACAAAAACAAACACATACTTCATTTCTAGGACCTCCTCCAAATGCTTCCTCCTCTCAGCCCGCAAGTTGGTCAAGTGAGTTTCCTTCTCGGCTAGAGACTGCTGGGTAGAGGACAGCTTTGCTTTCATAGATTCCAGCTCTTGTTTTACTTTCTCCATAGCCATCATCAACTCTTCTACCTATGGAGTTTGAGAATGATAAAGAATTAGTATGTGATTAGAAAAATCTTTGCCACTAACCAGGGCTACTGAATGATGGGACAAACATAATGCAATGATCTATTTACCCTTCTCTTTAGTACTCACACTGGATCCTTCCTTGTACTTTAATGTGAAATACCATGTTAATATAATTATGAAACTCAGAGAAGATGCACCTACATTACATGTGTGATTATTCATTGTTGCATTTTCCCTTCTATTTGAGGCCCACTGATACGCTTTGACTATATTAGTATCTGAAGTATACTGAAAGTTAAAATTACAAATTCAGACCAATATTCTTAATTTCAGCAGTGCTGCAATATAGCAATAAATATAACAAGAGAGAGTACATTAAGTACCTCCCTCATTCAACATGCATTCTGAAAACCTGGATTGGTCTTCTAACAATGCAAGTCTAATTCACATGAACAGTGACGGTAGAGCCTATATGGTGACCACTTGATAAACTTGCCTTGCATTGGCAGGTTCTATTAAAATCACAAGCTAATAAATCTTTACACAAAAATATAAAATGAATTATAGTTTTAGTGAAGATATAGCTTTTCTAAGAAAGTTTTAGGATGTTTTAGATGCTGTCCAATGCTACAGCCAATACTTTTTTCCACCTACATCTGCACCACAATTACAATCCCCACAGATCACTATTGAAGAAAAGAAGAGACAGTGTCAAGGAATGTTCACTATATTCTTACTAGGTATGTGTCTCAATACATCCAGGGATCAGTTGTAAAAATAAATAAAATAAATGGGTTATTCATAGAGCTGTTATTTTGTCCTTACCACCCCCCAATCCAAATATTAAAAAGTGTTTCTATGTTTAATTACTTGTGCAACATTTGGCCAATTCATGTGACATAGTGGTCCATTAGAGAGAAAAACAACCCTGGTATAACTCACAGCCGCAGATTTAGTCTTCAAATATCTCTCATTGGCTGAATTTGCATGATACAACAATATCTGACAACCTCTTCCCAGGGGTTACATATTCACAATGGCAGCCAGAATGTGATGTATTTTGAGTACATATCTCCCCTCTTCTCTTTCCAGCAGATCAACAATGGGCTTCTAAAATACCATGCTTTTTTAGCTAAGCTGGATATGCAATACAGAATGTATAACAACATTGTCAACAAGTAGTATACATCAGAACAGTAATCTCTCTGCTTGTGAGAGTTAGCTCTTGCCCTTGGTAGGAGTTGATGCCAAGCTGAATGCTCCTTCCTTGTTTCCCTCCAAAGGGGCTGGCTGTACTCTCAGGAAGGTTCATGGTGACTGAGCCAGTTAGTGGGGGTGCTGGATATTACTTTATAGGATCTCTCATTTGACTCGACAATGAAGCAGTGGGCTGATGAACTGACACCCATTCCCTTCTGACCATCCTTGTTCTACAGGAGAGGAAGTCTAGATCTCACCAGCCATATGGCTAAACTTGCTTGTTAACTTCGCATTTCAGTAATGCATCCCAACCCCTCTTCTTCATTTAGGTTACATCTTCTGAGTCTGAGAGAAGTGGGCCCAATTCCTACATACTGCAGCCTGAAGGCAAATTAACCCAACAATGGACTGCTGTGCAGTTCAAACTGGTCTTAGTGATACTGGCTAGCTAGGGATTTTTGCACATCATTTAGCTTAGAAAAACTAACTTTGAATTTGTACAATAAGACTAGATATGAATGCTCTTCTAGGTGAAGGAAGGAGTTAGAAATCTCCAAGGCACTGAAGCACTGTTTCTTTAAGATTTCATTCAAATTTGCCCCTTCTTTGAAGCCATAAATAAATTGATGCCATTATTACTAGATCATTCTAGGATTTTCCAAGCCTTTATTTGTATGACCACATTCTAACCCTCATTACACTGGCCAGACACTGGTTAACAACAGTCACTGCCTCACCTGGACTAGATGTAAAAGAAAGGTAGAGCTGGGTGTCATCAGTGTACTGGTGACTCTGAAGCCCAAACCCTCTGAGCTCCCCCAGCAGTTTCATGTAGATGTTAAAAAGCATGGGGGATGAAATGGAACCCCACGCAACTCTATGGAAAAGCTGCCATGGTACAGAGCCATAATCCCCCAGCACCACCTTCTGGAAATGGCCAGAAAGGTAGGAGTAGAACCACCACAAATCAGTGCCCCCAACTCCCAACTTGGCCAGCCTATCCAGAAGGATACCATGGTCAATGGTATTGAAAGCCACTAAGAGGTCCAGGTGTACTAACAGGGATGCACTCCCCCTGTCCTCCTTCCTGAACAGGTCATCATACAGGGTGACCAAGGCTGTTTCAGTTCCGTAGCCAGGCCTGAAGCCAGATTGAAATAGGTCTAGATCAGGGGTCGGCAACCTTTAACACTCAAAGAGCCATTTGGACCCATTTCCCACACAAAAGAAAACACTGGGAGCCACAAAACCCTTTTGATATCTAAAATGAAGATAACACTGCATATATCGTTTTTTTACCTTAATGCTATGTATATCTTCATTACGATTTAGCGGCAGCTCTTGTTCAGTCACTAAAAACTGTTATTTTTAATCTTACATTATAAACTAGTAGGACTCCTTTCATATATTTTGAATAGGAGAACAGCTTCCTGAAGAGTCAAAGTCAGTGCTAAAGGGCTGCATGTATTAAACAGCAAACCCCATAAGTTAGTCAGCAGTAAAAGCAAATGAATCTACCCACGTATCATTAAACATTTGGTTTTCTTCATTAACTTTTCTTTTTTCAATTTATCCATGGTTGGCCTGGGGGCGGGGGGACCTCAGTAAATCTGCACGGATCTGCAGATCGGTGGCTGTGCTGGAGATACAGGTGTGTTTAGTGACTGATTAGCAGATAAACAGTCAAGTGCTGTGAATTGTGACAGGTCCCAAGCGCAGCTTTTAACATTCAGATTACATTGGGACAAAGAGAATCTTTTCAGCAGCATTTCGTGTAACATGAGAGCCTGCAGGAAGCTTGTTTAGCAGAGGAATGTAGCGATTTACTTAACTAGTTGATTTACTTAACTTAGCTAGCGCTGCATTCCTGAGTGGGGCTTCAGGCAATGGCTGTGCTGGCACGAGGGAGCTGCAGCAGAGGGGTTCAAGAGCCACGTACGGCTCCGGACCCGTGGGTTGCCGACCCCTGGTCTAGATCTCCCATGGGCCGGTGGTTGAAAACCTTTCATTGTGAAAATAGGAGGAACTACTTGTTTAGGAATTAGCATTTCACTAACATTATTTGGTAACAGGCTGAAACAAATGAAGGGATCATTTGGTTGGTAGAGAAATTATATCTGCTTTTTGACTCAACATAAAGAGGGATCAGGGGACTGCAGGTGGCACAGTGGTTTAAACCGCTGTGCTGCTGGGCTGGTAGATCGAAAGGTCGCCGGTTCGAATCTGCACAACGGGGTGAGTTCCCGTTGCTCTGTCCCAGCTCCTGCCAACCTTGCAGTTCGAAAGCATGCAAATGCAAGTAGATAAAAAGGTACCACTTCGGTGGGCAGGTAACAGCATTCTGCACACTTCAGTGTTTAGTCATGCCGGCCACATGACCACGGAGACTGCGGACAAACGCTGGCTCCCTCGGCTGGGAAATGGAGATGAGCACTGCCCCCTAGAGTCAGGCATGACTGTACTTAACGTCAAGGGGAAACCTTTACCTTTTTAAAGAAGGATCAGAAACCTTGTGTTCTCCAAATATTTTGAACTACAACTCCTATAATTTCTGTTAGTCATGCTGACTGGAGCTTATGGGAGCTGTAGTTCAAAGTATCTGGAGAGTCCCAGGTTGCCTACCCCCAGAACAAAATGTAGAATATTTAATACCATATAAACATTTAATAAGGCAATTTCCCCTAAAATTAAATTGCTCCTGTTTAAGGAAAAACAGGTCAACATATTTACAGATGCTCATGTGTGGAGAAGTATGCTACCAATGTAATTTTCAGAGATGGATAGTGTGACAATAACACTCATACTCTTGTCAACCATGAAGGAACTAAATTCTTTCCCTGGGTGAAAACTGAAATCATTCAAGTCTGCCTAAGTTGCCAGACCTGAGGAAGAGAACTAGCAGCTGTAGCTTGTTAAGAATGCTGGAAAAATGAAAGAAGCCATGCAAATAACAAACAGAGCCTTGCTGGCATGAAAGAAGTGTTCCTGAGAAGGAAAAGGAGCTGTTCTGTGGTCTTTTAATCCATGAGATATTTGAACCAGGCCATGGGAAAAAGAGGAACTAAACAACTGAGTGTCTGGCTTTTGCAAGGGACTGTATATTGGCAACAAACACTGTAACCAGTAATAAGTGTTTTCTATCCTTTCCTGCATCTGCACCACTACTTGGATGGAGCTGCCCTGTGGCTATAGCAGCAGCTTATTTTACTCTTACCACTGAGATGTTTACTTTAGTTATAATCACTTCTCTGTGTGAAGATGGCAGCTTGACATGTAGTAGATAGCCTGACTTGTGAGCAAATTTAAATAGTGAACTAAAAGTCCCCTGGAAAGCTTCAAAAGGCTTCCCACTATTGACTTATATTAGTTCCTTGGAACAGACCTTCAGAAGCTGCAAGTAAAAATGCAGTGAGTCAAGCCACAATATTCCAAAGGAGAGCACTGCTGCTTTAAAAAGCCAGCTGAACCAAATATAGAGCACCATCTTCAAAAATACTTAAGCCTTTACTTTTAATAAGGACAATTACTCCAGTTTTTTGATGGAGGGAATTATGGAAAGAAAGGGGGATGGAGCAGCTTCAGGAGCTTTGCTCCATGTTTTTAGGAAAGGGATTACAACTCTCTGGTAGAGTCCATCCTTTGTGTACAGAAGATCCCAGTCTCAATCCCTAGCATTTCCTGTTAAAAGAGTTATGTAGCTAGTGATGTAAAGGATTCCTTCCCATTATCTCAGAGAGCTTAGGCAATGCTATGTTAGATGACCAAACAACATGACCTGGTATAATTCAGCTTAATCTATT